TTTAGAGATACTATTCATAAACACAAAACGTTTGCGAGTACAATATTCTGTTCCTCATTTACTAAAACTATAAGTAAAAAGTTGGTATGACTGTTCTATTTATTCAATCTGAGGAACAGATAAATTATCATTTCAGTTACAATGTATTTTGTTTGAGTAAATGCATTCACATTGAACAGTAGAATTTATCTGCATTGTGATGAAAAATCATATAAAATATCGACAAACAAAAAATACATCAAAATGCTGGTGAACGCGTAAGGCAACTGTAATTCTTATTCAGTTTCTTTATAGTTGTTTACATAATATATTGAATTTAAGACACATATGAACAATTGATCTGTATGTATGTGGTGTATGCTATGGGTTTGATACAATTTCCCTCCAAGCGTAAACAACTTTTGCTTGTGCTTATATATCTTTATTTACCTAAAATTCTAAATGATATTCTTGTTAACCATACCCGTGAAGAAACTGTCAATAGAACAAAGCTGTTGAATATTCTATTTAAAACAGGAACTGATTCAAAATGCGGATGATGCAAGCGCTTCTGAGATGAAGATCACATATGTGACTGACGACCCAGGAGAAAGTCAGGAACAGCCCAAACATAGTGGATGCTATTCAGAATATTTCAGGGTAATACTAAACTTGAAACGAAAAAATGAAGCGTAACAATACAATAACCTAACGATTTACATGTACATATAAATATTTACTAACAAACAAATTTCTACGCGGAGACCGCTGAAAAGAGCAAGGACGATACGACCAGGTGTTCTAAATGGGTAAACGTCTTTTGCTTCATTGGTGCCATTCGAGATGTTTATCTTGGGCAGTCCATGTAAGTAATGTCAAGTTCTCATATTAGATTTAGGTAATCAACAACACCAGTCATACTAACAAGCATAAGAACTATCGAAATGCATATCGCACAAGACATAAGAACATTTCTCCTCAAAATCATGCCGGTGAACACCTGTATCTCTCTAATCCTTGTTATTACCTGTCATTTCATAGCGTGTTTTACTAAAGTCTTGATGTTAGGTAAGACATCTTGGATATCAAATCAACACTGAAATAACCGAGGTTAAACTTGTCCAGAGTTATCTCCAGACTATAAGATTGCTTTGTGTTCTGCTTTTCGGTTGGCACTTTAAAATTCTGAATCTTGAGATTAGAATTATTTCATAACAATTTTCGTTCATAGTTTTTGATGTGGTTTTTACATAAGGATTAACATTCACATGGAATTATGTTGTCCTTAAGGGGGAGAAAGGAAAAATTGCTTTTTATGAATTCTTTTAACTTCCTAATGTTTTCACTTTATTTCCAGTCGCCGGCGCTTTGTGTCTATAATGACGGAGTATTCAATAGGAAGGACTGGACATATGTCAAAAGCATCTATCGCAGTGGTAAACGAGAAGATTCATTTAAAATAGGCAGATTCGGTCTCGGATTCAAGTCTGTCTTCCACCTGACAGGTAAGACGTTTTCGCAATTTACATCAACACTCTATACTTTTATCATGAGTAAACTCTTATGCAAAAAGTTCTAGAACAAATATAAAATTATAGCTTCAAATCCAGGATTACACCAGGTATTTATTAGGAGATATCATTTTGCTTTGGACGTCAATTTGCGTTTAATTAGATGAACTAGATGCTCCCATTGGGAAATATTCTATTTTCTTGTGCGATGTGAAGTTGGATGTGTTTCTTATTCGTTGGTAAGCCTGCTGGTTGTTGCTTCCCTTATTCGCATTTTGGAACGTGATATTACGTACTTGAATTGACCAAGATTTACATGATTCCTCCGTATTTGCCCGTAGTCTAATTGTACATCTCAGTCTCTCGTAAACTATTATTCTGTCTGACATCTCAAATTCTCGTAAACTTTCATTACTGTATCTTTGTGCGATATGAAGCTGAATGTGTTTGATGTTCATTAGTTTGTCTGTTGGTAATGTTGTTGTATACCTTGATCTCATTTGAGAACATAACATTACTTACTTGGATTGACCAGGATTTACATGCTGAGTGTCGTCGATGAAGCAGAAGACTCTTACTCTTCAGGAACACTTGGTCTTATTTTTCCTTGTCCTTTTCATGAGACTCCGTGTAATTGATTGTTCAATTAATTTTTCCTAGTTTTTCTTAATTCGAGTTTGGATTCTGAATATGTGAACGATGTTGAAATTTTCTTGTTGTTTTGTGTTTTCTAGTAACCTGGCATCTACCATTATATATATATATAAAAAAAAACGCACAAAGTGCGACAAGTACGGCTAGACTGGACGCACAGACAGGGTCCGAATAGGTTTGGAATGCGTTGGTGCAGGCGTGTGATGCTTACCGACGAGTCTAGATTCTGTCTGTATCGCTCAGATGGAAGGAAAAGGGTATATCGCAGGCATGGTGTTTTGCCGACGCATGTGTCGTTAAACACAATAGATTCGATGGGGCTTCTGTAATGGTTTGGGGAGGCATCTCCCATGGAGTAAAATCCCGTTTAGTGGTCCTGGATTTAAACCTCAATGCAGAGATCAGACACGTCCTTCCACTTCTGAGATGTCATAACCTAATTTTCCAGCAAGACAATGCTCGACCCCATGTTGCCGGAGCCTGTCTCACGGAAAACAACGTTAAGCCTCTGAAATGGCACCCGTGTGGCCCCGACATGTCTCCCATTGAACGTCAATGGGACGTCGTATTAGGAAATGTGAAAAAACTAACCACACTCAGTTGATCGCAGCATTAAAACAGGAATGGAACAACAAAATTACCTTTAAGCGAATTAATCTTCTCATGAATTCAATGCACTGGAGAATCCGCGCATACCAGGTACTAAAGTGTCATTTTGTTTTCGCGGGTATCCCACTTTGAGTACCTATTGACGACACGAGTGACGTCCCCCTTTTTAAGGAGTAGACTTGTTCCTTCACATTGTTATGCAGTTTTGTACAACATCCCCGAAATATCATAGGCTATTGATTGCATAATTTAAATGTGCTTTCGTTTTTGTTAGTGTAATTCAGTCTTCATTTTTGTCTTAATTTTGAATCTTGCTGTCTGATTGTTGCTGCAATTGTTTTAAATTATTATATTGTAGATAACCCTGTCATAATAAGTGGAGATCAGATATTGGTTATCGATCCGTTTCGGTCAAAAAACAAGCTTGGAAACGATTGCCATACTTTGAAATTCGAGAAACTTTGCAAATCTGTTCAGAAGAAAAGACGTTATAAAGATGCTCTGGTGGCCTTAGAGAAATTGTATGGTCATTGCGGATTTACAAAAGAGTCTATGAAGGATGGGTACCACGGAACACTGTTTTGGTTTCCATTCCGCCGCTTTCCTTCAGAATTGTCAACAAAAGTCTTCGATCATTCTGATGTCGGTGAATTGATATCTATGTTCAAGAATGAAGCTCATTGCCTACCACTTTTTCTCAGGAATATAAATCAAGTCTCCTTTTATGAAAACGGCAATACATCGTCATCATTCTCTGTGAAATGCATCACTCTTGAAGACGAAAAGAGGAAATCTTTCAACTTAAAACTTGCAGAGTGTAAAGGCAGAACACCAGATGAGGATATGGAAACAGTACTTTTGGTCACAGTTATTGTACAGGAAAGAAACGAATCCAAAAAGCAACAATGGATCGTTTGTAGGTATGTTAAAGGCATGAACAATCTTTCTGCGGATCTGAGAGCGTTGTCGGACGATAAATACCTGTCATACTGTCCTTTGGTAGGAATTGCGGTTCCAGTCAATGATACATTAGACAATGAGTTTCATGGACAGGTGTTCTGTTTCCTTCCACTTCCGTCTTCAAGTGAAAATAGCACAGGACTGCCTGTACATATTAACGGATTCTTTGCCTTGAGCCAGGACAGAAATCACGTTAAATGGCCTACAGATGATAAGCTGTATAGAGAAGACAAAGCACAGACATGGAACCGTTTGCTTTGTGAAGAAGTGATTGTGGATGCATACACATTAACTCTAGAATACATAAAGGGACTCACAGACTGCGAACAACGTATTGAATCTGACAGCCTAGTGAACAAAACGCTTCCATCGCGGGCAAACGTTCATTCAAACTGGGTTAGCATCGTCGATCCATTGTACAGAAGCCTTGAAGATAAAAATACATTTTACACGAAACATGATGGCGGCAAATGGATTCAACCAAAAGATGCAGTGTTTTCTATACTGAATGTTAATGAAGAGGAAGTTTGTGCGATTAATGATAACCAGATGGAACAATGTATAGTCAATTTTCTACTGGATAGCGGACGTAACGTCGTTAATGTGCCAATGCATGTTGCAAAATCGTTTCCTGGTGTACAAAGAATAACACCGAATTATTTGAGAGATGTGATGAAAGAAAATTATATCTACACAAAACTTTCCACTAGGTATAAACTTCTCTTACTGCAGTTTGTGTTAATAGATCGACAGTACACTGATCTTGGTGTCTTTCAACTTTTGCCCTTGGAAGACGGTACGTTCGGTTGGTTTAATGATGATAATCCAAAGTACATTTGCACAGAGGATGAGTTGAAAATGTTTCCAGGCATAGAACAGAACTTTGTCAAATTAGACATACCACAGATACTGTTGGACCATTTGGATGAAATCCTTAACGAAGGTATGTAACATGTAATTCAGGTTTAGACTGTACTTGAAACAACGTCCATCCCCGCAAGCAAGAATAATTATATTCTACTTTTGAAGATTTTCTACAAAATAAATATAGATGAAACAAATATCGGTTCCTCTCTTTAGTAATTTAGTAAAAAAAGTTTACCATCAATGAATAACTTGGAATCATGAGGGAAAAATCTTCTAAGGATATGACCATGCTATAAGAAGAATCTGACATGGACTTTATTAATGTTTCCTCATTAAGATCCTTTGAAATACTGTTTTTAACATTAAGATAGACATCTTTATTATTTCTGTGCATTTTTAGCAAAATGTGCTTTGACATATAACATCAATATTGTCATAATTGATCTGATCGAGATTATTTTCTATATTGCAGTATCTTCAAATCTGGTTAACTTCTGTCTGAGAAGATTAAACAAAGACGATTTTCCAGATTTGCTTGAAAAGACTCTGTCTGCGAATGGAAAGAAAACTCACACTAAATATTTAGACATTTCTGGTATCCACATAACAATGGACTGGCTTGATCGTGTTTGGGGTTACATCGATCAGCATTATAACACTTTGGAAGATTTTGAATATATGCCTCTGATTCCGGGAAAAAACATAATCGATTCCGAAACCAAACACATCTCGCAGTTGATGCAATTAAAGGGTAAGTATGTGGTTGCTGAGTGTGGAGGGATGGAAAGTCTCAACCAGAATCTGAGAAGCGCAATCTCAAATTTGAAAATAGCTGTTATACCACATATTCCGAAAGGTGAAACATACAATGTATTGATGGGAACACACTGCAAATATCCTTACTTAAAAGATGTATTAGAACTTTTGGAAAAAAACGATGATATGTATTCAACAATTCGTCACTTTAACGAACGATCGAGTAAGGAGGAGAAAACGGCTTTGCTAGACTTCCTGTCTAAGGATAGTCAAATAGCAAGTACAGACGCTGACTACGTATTGGGACAGTTGGATATTTTTTCGGAAACCACGAACGTAAACAATGACTTACAATACACTTCAATATCGAAGAATGGCAAAATAGCATGCAGAACCCACATTCCAATTAAATATCCATTCCCTCTACTTCATTTGGAATCCTCACATAAGATTCTTGCCGAGCGGTTAGGAGCTACACAAGTGGAAGAATGCTATGTAGTTGAAGAAATATTACGAAATATCATCAACGGAGAGGGTGGATATTCGAGATCGAACATTGAGGATTTCATGATGTTTCTACTCATACATCTTAACAGTGTAAGAGGCGATCACGAAAAAATCTTCGATTTAGGTTCAAGAGTAAAGTTTATTGAAGTTTCATATTCATTAGGAGATATTGCAGTTGCATCGATACGACAATTTTTTGACCATACTAATAGAAATCTTCAAGAGTTGTTTCATTTCGACAAAGCAAAACTTCTTCCGCCAAAATATCAAAAAGATGATATTGAATGGTCACTTAAAAAATTAGGATTGAAATCAGAGGATGATGTTAAAACTGAAGACATCTGCAATGTGGTAAAAATACTCGATGAAGAGTGCAACCAGCATGCACACACGGCAGAGGACAATGTTAGGAAATGTTCCTGTCAAGTGATGAAACTTCTAGAGAAACTTACCACACAATCCGCTGTCAGTTTGGGCGGATTACATCTGAACAAGTACCGATGGATAACCTATCTTAAACATAAGCCACCTCATTATCCAAGTGTACTACCATGGTATGGACAAGAGTTGAAGTCAATTCTATGTTCACCGGAGGATGTCTTCTCAACGAAGTTTGAGTCCCTTTCGGCGTCAGTCAAATGCATTACAGCAACATCTTTATATCCAAATCTTGCGGAGGGTTACGGTTGGGATACTCCTCCTAGTGTAGAAATATGTTTATTACAGTTGAAAGTTTTGAGAAAAGTATTCAACATCAAAGACAAAGCAGCACTGATATACTTAATAAAACACATATATCAGCAGTTGTTCGATAGTATCATCACGTCACGAGTTGAGGAGCTACAGTCAGAAGAACTTGTTTGTACGCAAGAAGGGTTTCATCTTCCAGAAAAGGTATATGTATCTTTTCCGACGAATGAGAACATATCTCTTGAACCTTTTATGTATAAATTACCTGCCGAGTTCTCCGAATTCTCCAGTATGTTTATTTTCCTTGGGTCAAAAGCTGAACTCACTATTAATTCAATGAAGCCCGTTCTAACAACGATTAAAAGGACAACTACAAATTCTACAACCGAAAGGGATAGGAAGATGGTGATAGACATTCTCAAATGTATAGTAAGCCTTAAAGATGAGAACGAGAGCCTTGATGATGTATTAGTTCCTGTAAAATCAGATAACGCTAGTTTGGACTTGCATCAAGTTAAAGACTGTACATATTTTGATGTTGATTCCGGATGGATGTGTAACAGTGAATTTGATGTTAATATCAGAAACGTTCACTCCGATGTTAGTACTGACTTAGCAGAATCCCTCGGAATCCGCTCTGTCACTCAGAGATTTTTGTCAGACGGGGGTACTGAAGAAATATCTGCATGTGGACAGTCAGAGCCATTAACAACAAGACTGAAGAATATACTGGAAAACTATCCAGATGGAATGGCTGTCTTTAAAGAACTGGTCCAGAATGCAGCCGATGCTGGAGCGCAACGTATTAAATTTCTTTACGACGAAAGGCGAAATAAAGATGCAAGAACTGGTTTGATTAACGCTAACATGGCAGAATGTCAGGGCCCTGCTTTGTGGGCTTACAATGATGCTCAGTTTACCGAAAGCGATTTTCAAAATATTATCAATCTCGGCGGAGGAACAAAGAAGGGCACAAAATTCAAAATAGGAAAATTTGGACTTGGATTTTGTGTCATGTACAACCTTACTGATGTTCCCAGTTTTGTTAGTGGACACTCACTAGTTATCTTTGATCCCCACACTACGTACCTTGGGAAAGCAATCAAAGACAAAAGCAGTCCAGGACTACGTTTGACCTTCACGGAAAAAAGCTCAGGTATTCTGAAGTTGATGGAGAATCAATTCCATCCGTACAACAAAATTTTTGGATGTGATTTGTCGGGCAGCACTTTCCCACCAAATTTTAAGGGAACGCTCTTCCGATTTCCCTTACGAACTAAACAACAGGCAGTGAGAAGTGCTATTAAAAGCACTCCGTATACCAGAGATGATATGGTCGGACTGCTTCATCTGTTCAAGGATTGTGCCGGTGATATGTTGACATTTACCCAGAACATAAAGGAAATAGAACTGTATCATCTCCCAGAAGAGAGTTTGAATCCAGTGAATGATACAAAGCTTATTTTTAGCATTGAGAAAGCCGTCATCAAAACCACCCCATTGATGGAGGGTTCCGCTGATATCCATGTGATGCAGGAAGTTGAAAGTGCCAGCAGAAAAAATCAAGACTTTGTATTCAATGAACTGATATCAGTGAATTTAAGTATGCCTAAAAGCAGACTTCTGAAAGTCAAGAACATCTATTTCAAGTCTTCGCTATGGTTGGTTGCTTGGGCTTCAGGAAGTAATAGATCACTGCCTGAAGATACCAATCACTTTAAAAGTGAGAGAGAAGTGTCCGTAGGAAGTGTTGCTGTTTCCTTGAAAGGATCACATTCAAAACGTACAGCGGTACCGTTCCCGCATCAAGAGAAACAGATTGGATTCTATGATACGAGTCATTACTTTTGTTTTCTGCCTTTACCCGTCGAGTGTCAACTGCCTGTACACATTAACGGATCTTTTGCCGTAAGAAGTGACAGGAAAGGTTTAGTAAAAAGAACAAGTGACGAAAAAGGAGAAACAATGGGTCAGATTTGGAACAAAATGCTGATGTCTGATGCAGTTTGCAACGCTTACATTTCAATGATGACTTGTTTAGATGGGTTTGGAATTGTCCTTGAAAACTATGAATCACTTTGGCCTATTCCCTGCAAGGAAACAGATGGAGATCCAAACCTGACAAAATCCTTTTGCGAAAAAGTAATTAATGGCGATTACGAAGTATTTCATACGACAATTGGACGCCGTGCTACATTTAGTGGTTCCATTTTTCTTGATAATGATTTTCGTCATAATAAGACTGTTGGGGATTTAGCCTTTGGTATTTTTCAAAGTTTGTTCCGAGGAATAAACCTTCCGATGGATATGTCAAAAGAATTGTATTCACAATTTTGCACATCAGGATGTAAGGAAAGACTAGACCAGCAAACTCTTTCCGTGAAAAACTTCTTTGAAGACATATTTTTTCGAAACATAAAGTTCATAGATGGAAACAAGCGAGATGCATTGGTAATGTTCATTCTACAAGATAGTCAGCATTATCTGCAACAACTGTTAAAATCAAACCCTTGTATTCCAGTCAAACAAGATAGGCGATTGAGATTACCAAATGAACTTGTACGACCAAACTCTAAAGTATCAAACTTGTTCCGTGAAAAAGATGGACGCTTTCCATCTGACGCCAACCAGCCGTTTCGAAAAGATAAAATCTTAGATGTTCTTGTGCATTTAGGCATGGTGGACCGGACATTGTCAGACGAAATGATTGTTGAGAGAGCTGAGTCTATTGCCAATCTACCTGATCGCAAAGAGGCCTTAGATCGCTGTCGAAAATTACTGGCATATCTGGATGGAGAACATGATCGCCCGGAGATCTACGATGTTTTGAGCAGAACAGCTTTTCTTCCTTCGCTAAGGAAGCCTATCGATTGGCCTCTGTCATGGGTCCGTAGGTCAGCAAAAACAAAAAATAAGTTTTTCCCACCGAATCAAATGTTTTTCCCCAGAGATATGGAACGAATAGCATGTTCTCAGCTGATTGTTGACGAGGAAGAAATCAAAAGTGATGTCGATGTTAAGAAGGTTCTGCGGTTACTTGGAATCAGACGGAAATGTTCGAGAGATAACATTGAAGCACAGCTGTTAGCAAGTCGAGTGCGCTTTAAAGATCTTACAGACAAACAGAAAAACAAGTTACATTCAATATGCTTATCTGTATATAAGTACATGAACTTTTTACGTGAACCTCTGACAGAGAAATATGATGATCTGCCTATTATATGGATGACTAATTGTCTTGTGTCTCCTAAGCGAATAACCATGGAAACGTTCCATGATATTGATTGTAGTCCAGCAATATACCAGTTAGGCTCATCTGATATTGGGAAATACAAAACATTTCTCAAACTTGTCGGTGTGCAAGAAAAGCTTTCTCATGGAAATATTCTAACAGCACTCACAGTGGTAAGGATGGACAGCAAGGATAAATGTCTGCGTGTTTCTCTAACAGTGCAATTACTACGACTTCTCTCTACAGTCTGCGAGCGACACGGAATAACATTAAGTTCCGCTGAAAAGTCTCGCATACATGTCCCGGACGATTCAAATGTTTTTCGACCTGTTGAAGAATTGTGTGTAGATGATGGGTATCAGCTGAAAAGACAAAATTACATGCATTTTGTTAACCCCAAAGTGTCGATGGGTACTATCAAGTTTCTTGGCATAATATCAAAACGGCAGAAGCACCTGCATGATATTAAAGGGAGTATGCCATTTGGACAAAAGGAAGAACTGGTAACACGACTGAGAGGAATCATCGAAGGATATCCTCCAGATGAAACAATATTGTATGAATTGTTGCAAAATGCTGATGACGCAGGATCGAGGGAAATTGTGTTTATTCAAGACGTCAGACAACACGAAATTAAGAACGGCATATTTGGAAAGAAGTGGTCTGCAATTCAAGGTCCTGCATTATGTGTTTTCAATGATTCTTGTTTCTCTTCCGCAGATCTTGAAGGTATTTGCAAACTAGGCGAAGGAACAAAATCTAAAAATCCATTGAAGGCGGGACAGTTTGGAGTCGGATTCAATGTGGTTTATCATTTGACAGACGCGCCTTCATTCATTACCAAAGGTCCCACAACACCTAATAATGGAACATTCTGCGTTTTTGATCCTCACTGTTCTTTTTGTCCTGCTACTGACGATAACCCGGGAATGCAGATTCCTGATTTAGGAGAACTAGAAGAAACATATCCGGGGATATTTGAATGTTATTTACAGAAAGAGATGCCAAGGTCAAAGGGTACATGGTTCCGATTTCCCTTACGAAACGAAAGCATGGCAAGTTCTTCGCGCATATGTAACAATCCAATGGACAGTGGTGAACTGAGTTATTTAATTCAGAAATTCAAGTTGAATGTGAAGAAATGCCTTTTGTTCTTGAGGAATGTGAGAAAAATTTCATTATGCGAAATAGATATAACAGGAAATATCAAGACGAATTACACAGTGAGTTCTAGTCTTCACGAAAACGACGAGCGTAATCTGGAAGAGTTCACCACAGCGAGTGACACATTAACTAAAGCTTTATATGATAAATCGGCTGATATCAAAGAAATTGAATTTCAAATGGTTCAATACAACATGACCATTCAGGAACATGATTACCATCAACCTGAACACTGGATTGTATCCCAGACATTTGGATTTGAATCCAGTGTGAATATTCCGGAAAGCGTAAGTGCAGCCTTTCAGTGCGGTGAAATAGCTCTCACACCGAAAGGTGCGGTGGCTGTTCCGAATGTATCAAGGAACAAAGGAAAGGAAGAAGAAAATACAGGCAGAGAATATATTGATTCAACTGAGTATTTTCACCAGTCTCATGTAAGAGGAGGGTTCGTTCAGTTGTCAGGTGCTTCGACCCAAACCAAAGAAGAAGAAGGCCAAGCATTTTGTTTTCTTCCTCTGCCGTTGAAAACAGGTCTCCCCGTACATATCAATGGTCACTTTGCTCTTATTCAAACAAGGGGATCAATGTGGGAGAAAACATACAGAGGCGATTGGAACAGATTGCTCTTAGGTACAATAATATCAAATAGCTACGTCCAAGCAATTGAATGTTTGCGCGACAACTTCCTTGTAAACGATGTAAACAGGGAAGAGCTTACAATGACGGATATAAAATCAAGGTTGAAAAATTATCACGAGGCCTTTCCACGTTATGAAGAAGGAAAAACTGATCTGATCAAATGCATGATATCGTCTTTTTTTGCTCTCCTGTATAAAAAGGAGTCGACAGTGTTCCCTGTGCTATCCGCGAATGGAACACATATATGGTGGGTTGCTCTGCAACAAAACAGTCATGCATTTCCTGCGTGTTTTGATAATACACTTGATCAGTTTCTGCAAATGCCACAACTAAATGAAACTCGGTATTATCAATATAGTTTTCAATTTGACAAAAAAAGGAATCTTGAATGTGCTGTAACAAATGCGCACAATCTGACCAGTATTCTTAAAAATATCGGCATGAAATTACTGGAGTCTCCTATATGGATTCACGAAAGTATGCGCCAAGCTTTGAAGCAGGAAAGCAGCATATCCCTTTGCCAATATAAATCAGATGAACATTTGATTAGCCCTAGCACTGTCATTCAATTCATAAGGGTAGGTAACACTTCGCCGGATGCATGTCTTCTTTACCATGTAAATAGTAAAGTAACAGACACTCCTGTTAAAAGCATTGACAATGTGAATCGTCTGCTACGATACTGTGTGATAGATTTGGAAAGTTTTCAACAACACATGGACCAGCTACCGCTTTTGGTGACGAACGATGATATACTGAGATGTTTTTCTTCAACTTCACCTGTAATTTTGTCTCAGTTCTGTGATCTGCTCCCATGGTCAGCAAAGCACTTTGTGCATATCAATATCGTCGATGTCTTGGAGAACATTCCATTACAGAGTTATCAGTGTTTTAAAGGCTTAGATTTGAACACTTTCGCAAGAATGCTACCACAAAATTTCGACAAGACTATCCTATCAGGACCTGACCAAATACCATGGAATGAAGAACGGATAAGTCGGCGTTGGATGAAGACATTCTGGCGGTATTTGGATTCTTTAGAAGAAAAACCATTCGAGGAGCTTGGGAATTGGTGCCTGATCCCCGGAAAGTTGAATACGCCAAGAACATTTTCTCTCAACGAGGTCTTAGTTCCATTTGATAAAAGTTTCATTCTGTTGGACAGCTGCACTTTTCGAGACGAATACCTGAGAAGTGTGTTTAGCTCTCTAAAAGTGACAAAGCCAAACGTATTCCTCTACAATGATACATTAAAATATCTTGTAGCATCACAAACCGATCCGATACGATTAGTGCAATGCCTTCATTACTACAAGAATCACTTGGAATATCTGGAGATCAGTCAATGCAAAGCAATACTGCAGCACCTATCACAGTCAGAAAATATAAGGAAACTTAAACAAGACGCATCCATAGTTGCAAAGCTACGTGACCTCCCTTTGTTCACGACTGTCACTGGGATCAACGTCAAACTTCAAACAAATAATCTGCGGATTTTCATCGTGAAAAAACACTGCGAACTAGATAAAGACGGAATGCAGACTTGGATGAACAGCTATGGGTGCATTTTGTTAGAAGAAAACTACTCCACGTTCGAGTTGATGTCCTACTTATATTGCAATCAAATTATTTCAGTTCCTGAATTGTATTGCGAACATATTCTGCCATTTTTCTATCATCTCGAACGAAATCATCATTTGACTCATTTGGAATATGTGAGGCGCAATCTGAAAGATGTCCCTGACTGTCCGTTTAAAGAAGCGTTGCGGACATCGAAATTCATTTATCAAAACGGAAGTGTCAAATCAGCGGCCAATTTCTACGATCCCCGTAACAGATTATTTCAAAAACTGTTCGATCAGTCCATGTTCCCACCCAATCCATTCGGATATAATGAATGGAAAACACTCATGGTATCTGCGGGAATGAAAAATACAGTGTCAGCAGATTTGTTTGTTAAATTCGCTAAGCAGATTGAAAGCAGTGGACAAACCAGAGGGATGACGGAAAATATAAGAGCACAGTCCAATGAAATTGTCAGGTACCTGTTTGCCGAAAGAGAGCTGTACACAGATATTGACTTGCTGAAGAAAATAAAAAAACATTCGCTTTATAATACCGCACTGTGTTCAATCTACATATGAACAGATATATCCGCAGTTTGGATGCCAAGGGTTGATACAATTTTGTGACTCTGTTTACGAGTCTGAGATGCGTCTAGCATGGACCACGACATCTATTTTACCATGGCATGTAAAGTGGGACATCCAAAGGTGTGCAAGAACAAATATAGAGGCCTGTTTAGGAATTCTACACAAGCCATCTTTATGCAATGTGATATCCCATATTCACAATGTTTGCGACTCTTTCAACAAGACATTAAAGGAAATGAAGAGACAAGAAAGGGAAACCGAATCTGCTCACTTTTTTGAAACTATCAATGAACTAATGGAAGCCATATACATACATTTACAAGAAATTTGTCACCATCATCCGGAAATCAAACGAATGCTGTCGGAAACGCCAATAGTATACATTAGGGAACATAAACTATTCGTGATGGCTAAACAATTAGCTATCGCATTTGACGGCAAGAAACCGGTTCCGCCCCATTTGTTTCATATTCCCCTCTGTTATGGTCCATACCAGGAACTCTTTCAATTCCTCGGAGCAACTACGACTGTTACTTTATGTCAATATTCAGATGTAATCTGTAGAATTCAACGCGAAGTCAAATTTAATACGCTTGACCCTAATCGCCTACATGACGTGGAGATTACGTTGAGAAGTATGATGATGTTACTGGAGGAAACGGAGTTGATTGATATTGAAACGTCCATGGCAGATGTAGAAACGTTATATTTACCCACCTCCGACAAACGTTTAGCAAAGTCCGCGGACTTGGTGTTTGCAGATAAACCAAAGCTTAAACGTAGAATAATGCAAAGTGAAGATCATGATATAGTTTTTATTCATAGTTTGAAGAAATGCCACGAACAAAAAAATCTTATCCTGAAGTTACCAAATGGATTCAAACCTAGAATACTAAGTTCAATTCTGGAGGAAATGGTTATATCAAATTTAAATATCGCAAACGACATCAAGATAGAGAAATTAGAAGCGTTTAAAGCGTCTCAAAACTTTTTGGAAGCAATCAAAGTAATTGGCAAATTCGGTGACGAAGAATTCCACCACTATCGTCAGTTACTATTGAGAATACAACTTATTTCTGTCTCGGAGATTACAACAATTCTTACGATGGATGGCAGACGTATTTCAAACACAGAAGCTTCGCAAAAATGTTTTCGTTCTAGCAAAAATGGTGAACACAAGTTATTTTTTGAAGCCAACGATAATGGAATACGGACCTGGCTTAAAGACATTGGGCAAGAACTCTTTGAAACACTTTCAGATTGTTTAGACAACAAGATATCGCCAGAAAAAATCCGTGAAGTAGTTGATTATCTGGATGATCCCTTAAGATTCAAACAGTTCTGTGAAGATCTTTTCGATGAGGATGGAAACGAACTCGATGAATATTTAGCGTACTTTCCAGGACAAATGGTTCCTTTAGGATTACACGGCTTGCTTCAAAACGAAATACGTTTTTTAAAGGTTCAGGACCTAGTCGCGTACGAGAAATTTGATCCGGCCATAGATGGTGACCAAGAAGATGTTAATTTAGGTAGGATATACATTTTTGTCCGGATATTAGAAACAATTCCACTGGATAACCCAAACGACTGGCTTCATCAGAAGTACGAAGTTAGTTTCGGTCATGGCAGAAACGAAATAGTAATGGGACTGCGACTATATAAGGTGGCATATCCTGAACAATCTACAACTACTGAACTAGTAGTTCATCAGTTTGGACAAGCTGGATCCATACCTCTTAATAGAGACAGTGTGTTCGACGAAATCATCGTTACATTATCAAATGCTTGGAAACTTGATGACGCAAACAAAAAACGAGTCGTGAAGAGATTGTTATTGATATGGCACCCTGATAAAAATCTCTTAAAGGGCGAAATATATCAATTGTTTTCAACGGAGGTTACGCAATTTATATTTGATATCATTCGCCGCCTTGACGAAGGCGAATTCACAAGCACTTCAGCTACTGAAGGCTATACAAAGCGGAAAGCACAACGAAACTACTATGAATGGAACTATGGAAAACAATCAAAAGAATGGCAGGCTTTCGGAGACAAGGTATCTGCAACGCAAAGGCAAGGTCAAGACTCGAGTTTACAAAGTGGAAAACATAAAACTGACCCACAACCTGAAGAGGCAAAGAGGTGGTTACGGCAAGCTAAAAGGGACTTCAAGTGCGGATTGATATCATTAGAACTCAATAATTCATCTTTAGAAGGTGATACTCAGCTCAAAGAAGATAACAACTGGATTTGCTTCAAGTTCCATCAAGTAAGAATTATAATTAGTCCACGTTATAAACAATCAAGTATATATTTCTTCATATACTTGTAAAGAAACGTCAATGTTTGATATTCACACACATACACAAGTGTTTCAGTAGATGGCAAATTTATTTTCTTTTAATTAGACAGTTCCTATGCATGTAAACACTATCTAAATTTCTCATTTAAAGTGGAAAGCGGTGATCTGATCTGATCAGCTGTTTATTAGTATATCCATAAAACGTTACATTGACACGATGTCAATATTCTAATAATGTTATATTATTTCATGGGATTGTTTTGATAAGTCAGAGTTGCTTTTCACCATGGAAACTTTTAGCAAGATTGCGACAAAACCTCAATTTGCACTGTTCGTGTTACATCAACGTTGACAAAATTATGAATCAACATCAGCTGTCACGGTCGTCTGAAAGGACGTATCTTACAAGTAGACCTTTATCTTAAATGAAATAAAGACTTTGTGAATAATAAAAACCACAAAGACGTAAATGTTCCAAATTTTTTGACAGATCATTTTATTCGGCTACATTATTATTCATTGTGTCCGAATCAGAAACAAGATTGAGGAATATTCTCATTTTTTTCTGTAAAAGTTAAAAAAAATATTCCTTTTATGCAGTTATGAATTATGTTTACCAAAGAACTGATCGAATTCAGTATTTGTGATATACCAAAAAGATTGCACCGCTAAAGCGTTGTAGTTGTGTTAATGCTGCTTCATCTTGAGGACACTTGACCTGTTGAAAGGAAAAAATGAAACTGCGTTATGCATTGTATTACAGAAAAAACATGCCTATGAAAATTGAGTACCCTGGTCTTCATTAAAGTATTAAAGATTGTTCCTTGAAATTTTTTGAAAATGAAATATTGGTCCATCTGAAATGCTCAGAAAATAGTCATTATCACATATGCTGTAAAAGGAAAATTTTCGACTATCGCAAAATTAACATATTTAATTATTACATTTTGTAATGTTACATTAACCTCGTTACAAGGTACATAAATCATTCAAAAATCGAAAAATATATAATTCGGGAGGCAAATAAAATGTTATAATAGAAGACTTAATCGAAACGAAATGCCCGTACATGCTGTGAGTATAGATAAAATTGATAAATAGGAGATAACTTTGCCTCCAGAACCTGATTAAAACTCTTCTATTTTAGGTCTGATGTTTACTCATTATGAGAATTTCATCATTTCAGGCTTGCGAGAAGGCTTGCAAAGCGTATGTGTACAGTATGGATTCACATAAAGTTACTCGTCAACATAGCTTGCGTTGCATCATTCCGTGGGAGAAAGCAAACGAGCAAGAGCAACTCACCGACTGGTTAGAAGAGATAGAAACGATAGTTGGAAGTTACTTCAAAATGCGTTACCCGGATGACCAAGGCTATCCTGAGATACCAGCAACATTGTATTCAAAGGAGCAAACTAACAAAATAATGGAATTGACAAAAAAGGTAATTGATAAAATTGAGGACGAATTGTAACTTTGAACGAGATTCTTTTTCTTAAATACACATAGGACAATACTGTCATCATCGTTAAGAAACCCCAGTTTATATATTAATATATGTGTTTGCATAATGCAACTAGCATCAAGTGTTGAATAATGACATATGTATGAATAATATATCATCTGCTCTTTTTTGCATATAATGAATCATTTAAGCACATGATATAATGGTAATGTTGTAACATTTTCAGGAAATAGATTTAGGACTGTAAGGACAGTAGTAGGATAAGATATGTTATATTTTACCTATTTGTCAAACAATTGCATATAATCATTTTGTTATAATAATGTATTTCAAATAAGTACTGTGTTGCTGACAGGTATTAGTTTTATATGTATAAAATAAGATACTCGATACTTTGTTTATATAAATGCATTGTTGTAGTATTGAATTTGTTACTTATAAGTCGTATTTGGTTCAGTTTTTCTTTTAATTACAATTTATGATACTAATACTTAATTTATCTGAAATAAGTATTATTTTATTTGATCTGATATATGGTACATTCTATGCATAATGAACTATTTGTAAATATCTTACAGAATAAGACAGTGTACTTATTATCTACTTTTGTAAATAATACTTCTTAAATTTATAGCATATTAGGTTGATACAGATTATGTTTGAGATCATTTTTGAATACAACTTTGATATGATAAGACACTGATATCTTGATATGTGTAAATATTCTTCTAAGTAAAGGACATGATAGTTGTGCTGTTATATTTGTAAACAATTCTGTTTTTTTATTATACTAAATGACGCTAATACTGAATGCAGTTTGGATAATTATTCTTTATGTTTGACTTATATGTGATATGACCCTAATGCTATGTTATGTTATGTATAAATATTCTTTTACGCATAGGATATAACACTTTTACTTTTTTATTTGTGAATAATTCTCGGGCTGATTATAACAAATGACGTTTAAACTGATTATTTGTAAGATAAGTATTCTTTTAGAATGACCTTGCATATGATGTGACAATAATACTTTGATGTGTGTCATTATTTTATTAGTACGTATTGTTTGATATCTGTTACCATTTTAAATGTAATATTTGTTGCAATTTTAATTGTATTGATATTGAAAACATTCTATTCTTTTCAGTACATATGATTAGTAACTGATACGGTTTATAACTTCCATTTTAGTATAGCGTATGATATATGTATCTCTACCATAATACTTTCCGTATATTATTCTTTTAAGTATGAAAATCATTGTACATAATCATTCTGCTTTACTATAAGATATATCTGGCAATTTTTAAGACAAAGATCTTGGGTTCGGAGCCTGTGATAAGGGTACTTCACAATTTGTATATTTTATTTTGATATGGTTTATGAAACTACTACTGTTGAATTTGTAGATAATTTTTTCCTAGCATAGGCGATACTCTTCTAATCATCTGATACTGTAATATTTGTAAAAAAAATATATAAGTATGGTTTATGGCCCTAGTACTGCAAAATATGTAGACAGTTATCATTTTATAGTAAAAGGCATTGTACTCGTACCTATAGGAATGCATTATCCATAAAGATTGTTTGTGTAAACTACATGATAATAATACTGTGATATAAAATTGATAAATATTAATCTTTATCGTTAATGATGTGAAACTGATAGAAAAACAATTGTAAATTACTTTGGGTTTAATGCTATATATAGTATTATTACTGTTTATTATTTCAGTTAAGCATAGATTAAGATAATTTTAATATTACCTGATATACATATTGTTGAATCGTGTATTTGCATTATTCATATATTGTGAAAAGCTCTGCAAAGCTTAATATGAGATGTTTGATAAATACAACAGCAAAATAATGGGACTTAACCATGTGATAACATCTATCTATGTGCTAATGTTAATACTGTAAAATGTTTTATTTCGTTACTGATCTGTATAACAAATATCTCATTCACAATGCCATATCACCACCTTCTAATTCCTCCTTTGATGATGATATCTTTTTTCATGTAAGTGACCGGTACACAGCGGTACAACCTGCTATGTAAAATTAGATATTTTCAAGAGACTCAAGTTTTCTTTGAAGAAAAGAATAATGAATTTTTTTTTTTAATTTTATGGATATTGGATTTTTTGGATAAAGATACTTTAATAAATTAACTTTTACTGCTTTGGCCATATACATTCAATGATTACTAAAACAAAAATCTACGAAAATTTATCATTTTACGGTCTGTTACTTTCTTACGAATATATGATGGTTATAAATTAATCATGTACATATGTATCGGCATTAAAGAAATTGCATAGTGATTATATCTTAATGATCGCTATACCATTGTCATTGAGAAACGATCTATTTGCTTTTACGAGATGAAATTGGTCGTGTTTGGTGCTAGTTAGTATGCCTTGAGATTCCGTTGTTATTTATCATCTTCTCATATTTCAACGTAACATTTCTTGCTCGAAATGATCAATATTTGGATGACAAGTATCAGAGATACCGTATGAATACGGAGAGATGTTTAGCCTTCCGGAGCATCTAGTCTTTATCTCTCCATTTGTTATGGATCATGTATATCATTCGTCTCTTCATATTTTGCCCTACTTATTTTTTATCTGATTTCAGTTTGTATTAATATGTTGTTGACTTAGTGGTTTTGTCTTTTTTATTATTTTTTAACTATGTAGTATCTGAATCAGCGGAATGTGATTTCATTCCAAGAAATATCTACTTTTACCCAACGCATATACAAGACGATTTTAATGAATTTGTACATTAATTAAGTTATATTAAGATTTTTTTTCTGTTGACGTGTTTGCTTGTTTGTATTTTTTTAATTATATATATTCATAAATGTCAAAAGAGAAATATTCAGTTATCCATTCTGCTTTTAGGAATTAGTCTTTAAAATATGGTGCCTAAGAATTGACCTTTCCTGCTTTATTAACTATGTGTGTGTTGAAAAAACTGAAGGAAGTTTCGAAAGTCCAATGTAAAGATGAACGCACCTGTTGCAGATTTATAGTTATTTTTACCAACAGTGCTTTTTCATTAAACATAATACATTTATCAAATATGATTAATTCTTCATAACTTAATGGCTTTAAATCTTTCTCATTTTGCTTGCATGTTAGGCCTCTGTTAAAATTGTCTTATTAATATAAACCAATATATTAGACAAATTCAGCAAAAATGTTGACAAATATGCCAATGTTTCCTGCAACATGTCCTGTACCTATGTTTGTGTGGGAATGAACTCGTTTTATATAAACTCAATAATGTTATAAACGATGTTAGATTGTTTTTCACATCAAATGTCTGAATTACAACTTCTATGTTTGTAAAATAAACTTGGTTTATGTAAATTAAAATGTATTTGGATGTTAGAAATGATTTAGTTTGTTTTACAAAACTATAGGCTATGAACTATTGTGTATGTTGTGATGAACGTGGTTATCTGAACTACTATTTGAGAAATTACATTGCTTTAGTTGGTTAAAAAAACCAATTTCTATGAAGCAATTTTGTGAGGTACTTGAGTTATCTGAACAAAATAAATGTAAGAAATAATATTGATGTAGTTTATTTTTGACAAAAGTCTGATTAACTATTACGTATTTTGTGATGAACGTAGGTTATATGAACTAAATTGATGTCAGAAGTAACATTGCTTTAGTTTATTCTGAACAACCGAATTTTACGGAGCTATTTCATATTTTATGAGGAACTTAAGATATCTTAATTAAATTGACGTTAGAAATAACATTGATTAGGTTGGTTTTAAGAACCAAAATCTGTGGAACTATCTTAATGTTGTGCCAATTTGATTGATATGAACTAAATGGATGTTAGAAATAACATTGATTTAGTTTGTTCTTAACAACCGAATTCTATGGAGCTGTTTTATATTTTGTAAAGAAATTGTGTTATCTGTCCTAAATGAATGTTAGAAATGATATTGATTTAGGTTGTTTTAGAGAAATATAGGCTATGAAACTATTTTATATTTTGTGATGAAAGTGCTTATATAAACTAAATGGATGTTAGAAATAACATTGAATTAGTTGGATTTAACAACCAAATTCTATGAAACTATTGAGTATTTTTGGATGACTTTGATTTATATGAACTAAATGGATGTTAGAAATAACATTGATTTAGTTTGTTTTGCAGTACTATAATTTATGAAACTATTGAATATTTCGTGATGAACGTACTTACATGAACTAAAAAGGATGTTAGAAATAACATTGATTTAGTTTGTTTTTAAGAACCAAAATCTGTAGAACTATATTAATGTTGTGACAATTTGATTTGTTACATGAACTAAAAGGATGTTAGAAATAACATTGAATTAGTTTGTCTTTAAGAACCAAATTTTATAGAGCTACTTTAATTGTGTGACGAATTTGAGTTTTATGAACTAAATGGATGTTAGAAATAACATTGCTTTATTTGGCTGTAAGAACAAAAGCCTGATTAACTTTTGCGTATTTTATGATGAACTTAGGTCATATGAACTAAATTGCTGTTAGAAATAGCATTGCTTTAGCTGGATTTAAAAATCAAATCCTAAAGAAATGTTGTGGGTTTTTTTGTGACGACCTTGGATTACATGAACTCAATTGATGTTAGAAATAGCATTGCTTTAGCTGGATTTAAAAATCAAATCCTAAAGAAATATTGTGTTTTTTTTTCTTTTTTGTGACGAACTTGGATTATATGAACTAAATTGATGTTAGAAATAGCATTGCTTTAGCTGGATTTAACAATCAAATCCTAAAGAAATATTCTGGGTTTTTTATGACGAACTAGGATTATATGAACTAAATTGATGTTAGAAATAATATTGAATTTGTTTGTCTTTAAGAACCAAATTTTATAGAGCTTCTTTCATTTTGTGACGAATTTGAGTTTCATGAACTAAATGGATGATATAAATTACATTGCTTTAGCTGGATTTAACAATCAAATCCTAAAGAAATATT